TCCAGTTCTCTTGCCCAGGCCTGGAGACAGAGCCCTGTGATGGATATGACTGGTGAAACGGACACACACACACACATACACACACACGCTTCCATCACCGTGCACTGTGATGGATATGACTGGTGAAAGCTCTGAACACTGTTTCCTGAGTCCTTCACTTCCTTCCTCCCAGGCCTCGGTCAGCCAAGCTGAGCCGGGTTTCACTAGACTCGGGCCGGATTGGATTGCAGATTAACTGGCTTCCTGTCCAATCCGTTGGCTGCGTTCATCTGCTTGCCTAACGTTCACTTTTATTTATGAGCAAGCGGTGACGTTATTGAGGATGAATGAGTCTTCAGGATGGATGAGATCCTGGAGGCTTGGGGGTGGATTTACTGAGGGACAGTTGTTTTTAGCAGTATATTGTGGAAAGAATTTAGGAAAAATATAAAAAAATATTCTGAACAATTAGTCAATAAACTACTACCAAAAGAATGGTAAGTCTATATTATGTGCACATGCATTTCACTTACATTCAGCAGCTTCCACCCCGCATTTTGGTGCAGTGTATGTTTTCTCTTGCTCAACTGCAGTGCATGGGAGTTGAATTTTCTTGAAGTGGTTATTGCTCCATCTGCCCAAATCATTTTTGTCTGTATATTATTGAACCCTGAAAGTCTTATTTTCTTACAATAAGTGAAAAAATATGCCAACGCAGGGAGATATTCCAGTACAAATTAACTTGATGCATGAATCTTCCAGAATCAAAAACTGACTCTAGTGCAGCCATCTGCCTGATTCTGTCAATACACTAACTTGAATTTGTATTGGAAAAAAGTTAAAATGATCCTTCTGCAATAGCAGATTTTTTAAATTAGTTTTATTGTAAGAAAAACATGACTCTTTGCCTCAATAAAAGAAGAAAATTACATGACAAAGAGATTTTTGCAAAGGTTGAAAATGATCTTATTTCTTGTATCCTAATCAAATTTGCTACACATTTCACTGTTGCATCAATGACATGAAACATTTTCCTACCAGTATTTGGCCAAAGAGAAGTGTCTTTAGCTTTAACAGTTAACATAAAAAAAAAAGACTTTTTTATTATTTTAATATTGTTCAGAGAGCCTGACAAAATTCTATGAACAATGTTTAATATGTCAATAAACAGCAGGTCAAGCCAGACATATTCTTTCACTTATTTTCTGTTATTTTACTTTAAATAAGACGTGACTGAGTACTTCAGTATTTTTTTATGGATTTAGACGGATTTGTAAATTGGGTCCATTGTCATTCCCTCCACCATCCCATCACTACAGGCCTCCAACACCACCCACCCCACACCTCTCTCCCTCCCTCCCTCCCTCTCTCTCTCACTTTCTCCCTCTCTCCTGCTGGCAGCCCTTGATTACACTTGTCTCCTGGGGGAAGGTTTAAACTCCTCAGAGATAGTAATATCGAGGGTACTACTGGCTAGTCACTTCAGATCAGGGCGGGGGGAGGAAATGGCGACGGACACAAAGCTAAATATATAATTCCTCCCATGCCGGTAATCACGATGTCCAGACGATTTGAAATGACAGTTTAACCACTTTAGACTGAGGAACGCTTTGTTCAGATTTGAGAAGCAGGAGGTGTGTGCGCTGGAGCGTCTGGTTGGTCCCTATGATGGTTGGGGAGCCTCCTCGTGGGTGTAGAAGCTATCCAAAGGGGCCCGTGTGGTCCTATCTAAATGTACATAGGGGGGAAAGAGCGCACGTTCCATTGAATTAAAATGGCTCGCAGACCAGACAGGAGCAATTCTGTGTATGACAGACATGCCAAGAACTCCGGAAGGAAACACTCTCACCGCCCGGTATTAGTTTACCTGATTATTAGGATATCCAGCTTCCTCCTAAAATGGCCGGCCATTTCCCTTTTAGAGGCAGTAAGAGCGCCCACCTGGATTAGGCCTAAACGTGGTCTGAATTACACCAGGCACAGAAAAGGCCTCATGCCACACAGCTCAACCAATTACATCTATAAATATTAATAGACTAATCTGCACATATTCTTTTCCTGCGAGCTTGTTACTACATCCCCGAAAGGGTCAGAGATACTCTTATGAACATCAAATCCATTTAAATCTTTAGTTCAATTTGCATATGCAGAGATTTTCCGTCCAGACAGGCTCTCTCGATGTCCTTCCCCCCGTCATCAAGTCGCAAGAGGAGAGTGCATTTCGTATTCGTGCGCTGATTGGATCCTTGATGAGATCTTCAGGGTGGCTTCTCACACTCTGATGCTCTTAACACTCCAGAGGTGATGAGAAAGGAGAGAGAGAGAGAGGGAGAAAAGAGAGAGAGAAGGAGGAGGGAATGAGAAGTGTGTGTATGTGTGTGTGTGTATGTGTGTATATGTGTGTGTGTGTATGTGTGTATATATGTGTATATGTGTGTGTATATATGTGTATATATGTGTATATGTGTGTGTATATG